CTCTTTCCAGTGTTTCTCGTTCTCCAAGTGTGGTCTTCAGATCTCCTGCATCCATCCCTGGAGGTATTTGTTAAAAATACAGGCTCCTGGGCCCCATTTGGACAAAGTGAATCAGAGTCACTGGAAGTGGAACCTGGAATCTTCATTTTTAAAATGTGCCCCTCAAACTGGTAACAATGATTGCCTCTGAGGAGAACCTGATGGCTAACAATAAAAAATTGAAGTCATGGGGCCGGCTCTGTGGCCTAGCCGTTAAGTGCATGAGCTCCGCTGCTGGCGGCCCGGGTTCTGATCCCGGGCGCACACTGAGGCACCGCTTGTCAGGCCATGCTGTGGTGGCGTCCCATATAAAGTGGAGGAAGATCGGCACAGATGTTAGCCCAGGGCCGGTCTTCCTCAGCAAAAACAGGAGGATTGGCATGGATGTTAGCTCAGGGCTAATCTTCCTCACACACATAAAAAAAATTTGAAGTCTTACTTTATATGCTTTACAAACTGCATACCCTATACCCTTTTGTATTTCAAAATTCCCTTTGAATTTTGTATATGTGCCTGTCTTAGTTATTCAAAACCCCAAAACAAAACAAAACAAAAAAACAGAGGTGCTTCTTAAATGCACTCAAGCCTTGAGAACCACTATTTTAGCCCATTTGCCAATAGGTACAACCAAAATGGCTGTCAGGGAGCAACAGCCTATACCTGCCAGAAAGTTTTGTCTGTCTCAAAAAAGCTTTGTATCTCCTAATTACCGACTTTTGAGTGCAAGTTACTTAACCTTTTGGAGCTTTAACTTACTTATCTGCACAATCTACAATCAAGATTATTATGAGGATTAAATAAAAATGTATGCAAAATACTTTAAAAGATGCTATCCATAGCAAGTGTTCAATAATTGATAACAATCTTTTATATAATTACTTTGAGACTTAAGCCCACTAGCTCATACAAAACATTACCTCCCACAGTTTCCTAGAAGAGGAGCCATCTGAGGAAAGATGTGGTTCTCACCTCCTGATTCTGAAGTCAATAAAGACTGTCACACTATTAGTGACCTTTAATTTGTGAGGCCAGAAAACTCAAATCCAGTTTCTAAAAGTAACTGTACAGTTGTTAAAAGCAAACAATCTGGAGTTTGGTGGCTGGGGTTCAAATTCTGACTCTGCTATTGCCTGGCCGTGAGACTCTGGTCCTTAATTAACCTTGTTTCCTCCAATAAAATATGAAAATAATATCTACCTCACAAGGTAGTGGAGCAGCCTAAACTATACATGAAAAAGCAATCACCTTATACATAAAGTTTAACTCAAAGTAGATCATAGGCTTAAAGTTAAGCGCTAAAACTATAAAATTCTTAGGAAAAAACACAGGAGTGAATCTCTGTGACTTTGAGTTAGGTAATGATTTCTTAGATATGACACCGAAAGCACAAGTGGTAAAAGACTGATAACTTGGACTTTATCAAAATTAAAAACTTTTGTGCTTCAAAGGACACCATCAGGAAAGTGAAAACACAACCCACAAAATGGGAGAAAATATTTGCAAATAATTTATCTGATAAGGGACTTGTACCCAGAATATAAAAAACTCATAATAATAATAATAAACTCAATAATAAAAAGACACATAGCCAAATTTAAGAATGGGCAAACGTTCTGGATAGGCATTTCTCCAAAAAAGATCTACAAATGACCAATAAGCATACGAAATGATATCCAACATCATCAGCCATTAGGGAAATGCAAATCAAAACCAGGAGATAACACTTGACACCCACTACGATTGATACTGGCCCTGATTATCAGTTCCCCTACATTAAACCCAGAATATATGGAGTTAAAACCAAAGGCACTCATCCTCTTTCCCTGCTTCTCTAAGTTACATTCATGTGTAACTATTGGTTTTTTTGGTATTCCTGAACTTCACAAGGCAAACAGAAGTTACTAATTGTTAAAAGCCCAGGTGGCCTCAAGCTGGGCTCACACTGATGTTTTGGCTCATTACCAGTTCTTGAGGTTTGTTACAGGGAAACCGACATCAAAAAGCTAAAGCTTCTCAGACCTCAACTCCTTGGCTTCCTGGTGCCAGAATCCACCAGCCACTACGGAGACAGAGATAGTTGAAGGACACCCACCTGCAATTCTCTTATCCGCCAGCCTCCTCCCTGCAAGCAGCCTCACAAGGCCAAAGGCAAACTGGTGAGAAAGCACCGACCCACAAGGCCACAGGCTCCCCCTCCCTACTAGCAGCCACATTCCTCACAACCTTTAAAACCCCTTCCCTCCCAACTTTCGGGGAGACGAGACAAATTTGAGAGCTCTCGTCTTCTGGCTGACATCACCCAAAATAAAAACTCTTTCCTTGCCATAAGCCTGGCGTTCTAGTTTATTTGGCCCCTCTTGTGTGGCGGGTAAAGAACCTGGGTATGTACCCGATAACATGCTGACTATAAACAAAAAGACAATACAAGGGCTGTCCAGGACGTAAAGAAATTGGACTCCTCATATATTGCTGGTGGGAACAGAAAATGGTGCAGCCACTTTGGAACACTGGCAGTTCTTCAAAACGTTAAACACAGAGCTAACCATATGACCCAGCAATTCTACTCCTAGAAACTGTGGGGGAAGAGGGAGAATCCCCCTCTGCTCTTTCCCTTAAGGTTCTTATGGCTGGCCAAATAATTAACAAACAGGTTAGCAGGAGAAAATAATACCAAGTTTAATAACATGTATACATGGGAGAAAGCAGGGACACTGTGTTTCTCAACACAATAGCAGAAATTCTCGTCTTAAATACCATGTTCAGCCAATGACAAAGGAGGATGCTGGGGGTGGAGAGAGTCAGTTACAGGAGATTACCTCTAAAGCACAGTAAACAAGAGTAAGGTTATTATGCAGATTTAAGGCTTCACCTTCCATGGTGATAAGTCTCTAGAAATGAGGCCATCCCCCCTCTTCCCAATACAGAGAGGGAGATATCTTTACAAATGGAGATTTCCCTTATAAATGTAAATTTTTGTCTGGCAACTCCTCACAGGGCCATGCAGAGTATGTGGCCAGAGAGACAGAATTTCTGTCAAGATGGGCTTGTTGGTGCCTTTCCTATTGTAACATCTATTTTACAGCCATCAGATAGAAGATCTCTTCCAGGAAGGAGTTACTATGTCAAATTCTTTAGGCAGTTAGTGGGGGAGGTCAAATGTCCCTCAGAGAAAACAATCAAGGTAAAGAGATATATTTCAGGGTGGCCAAATCTTGATCTCCCACAGAATATATCCAAGATAAGAAAAAATATACGTTTACACAAAAGCTTGTACACAAGATAATAGCAGCATTATTTATAATAGCCCTGTAGGGGAGGAAAATAAATCCTCTACTCTCTCTAGGTCCTCCTGGCTGGGCTACGAATTAAATTGACACAACAGAGAATAACAGGAGAAAATCAAACAAAGCTTTATAACATGTATACATGGGAGAAACCCAGAAAAACTGGGTAACTCAGCCAGAATGGCCGAGGTTGTCATCTTAAATAGCATTTCAGCTAAAGACAAAGGAGGGTGTTGGGGGCAGTGGTTTGGGACTTCAAAGCGGAGGAAGCAATTCATATGGAAATGGAAAAGCAAATGTCTGGTGAACAGAACTTTGATAAGAATGGGCTTAGCAAAGACCCTCACAGTTCACCTATAACCAGAGTTACCTATGGTGATGGCCTGTCCTGGGGACAGGCTTTTTATTTTAAATGTCTTTTAAGCAGTTACAGGGGAAGGTCAAAGTTTCTTTCAGTCTTTTGTTCTATTAAGGCAAAGAAACGCATTTTGGAGTGGCCAATTTTGATCCCCCACAGCCCAAAAGTGGAAACAACTCAAATGTCCATCACCTAATGAATGAATAAACAAAACGTGGTATAGCTACACAATGTAATATTATTTAGCAGTAAAAAGGAAAGAAGTACTGGCACATGCTACAACCTGGATGAACCTTGAAAACATTAAGTAGATTCCATGTATATGGAAATGTCCAGAAAAAGCAAATCTATAGAGATAGAAAGTACATGAATGGTTGCCTAGGGTTGAGGAGGGTGGGGGGAAATGGGCAGTGACTACTAACGGGTTCCAGTTTCTTTTGGGGGTGATGAAAATGTTTTAAAATTTATTGTGGTGACGGCTGCACAACTGTGAATATACTAAAAATTATTAAATTGTATGCTTTAAATGGGTGAACTTTATGGTAGGCAAATTATACCTCAATAAGCTGTTAAAAACAAAACAAAACACCTAGCTCAATGCGACAATGCTTGATTCCTTCTAACTGTGCCCATAACTAAATAATCCTGGGCGGGTCTGTTCCCCGACGCGCTTGAAGGACTCCTAAGGCCCCTCCCACTTTTGACCCTTCAGAACTCTGAAGAACCAACGCTTGCCTTGGGGCCCTGGGACTCCCCTGGGCAAGGAATGAACCACAAGATCCGCCACGCTCAGACGTGAGGCAGAGTGCCAGGGCTCCCACAGTCCTCATCGCTCCTCCACGGCCCCACTCCCCGCCATTACCGGCCTAGAGATGCGCTTACCCAAGGCACAGGCCATGGCGGCGCCCACCAGGCCTCCACCCGACACCACCACATCGTACACGGTGTCTGCCGAGGCGCCGGACCACCTCCGGCAGGAGAGCAGCGGGCCTCTCCGGGGAGCTGCTGGTGCCGCCCCCAACCAGCTCACAGGCAGCCGGGCCGCCATGGTGCCGATCTGCACCGTGCAAGGCGCCCCGCTGGGCCCGCCTGCGGTAGCACTTCCGGAGCAGAGCCCTCCAATCACTTACCGTTTCAGCCGCCGCCTCAGAACCGGAAGTAGAAAGTGCAAAGAGAATAGGCCAATCAATAAATGACCATTGCCTTCTTGGGCGGGAAGGATTGGAGGCTGTCTGGGAAGGGGACTGGTTCATGCAATCCGCCTGAGAGCCAATCGGAAGCCAAAGCTAGAAAGGGGCGGAACCTCACCCGCGTAGCTAGCGTCGCCGCCGCTGCTGTCTCTGCAGCGCTGAGAAGATGACCGTGGGGAGGCCTGCGGGAGCCTCCGGCGGCGCTCAGTGGAGCCGTCAGGTGAGGAGAGAAAGAGAAGGGGAGGAATCAGGTCTGCGCCCCGGAAAGGAATCCCTAAGAGAGGAAACTGTTTGCGTTGCCTTGGAGACAGACGGCAGAGGCGTGTCACGGAGGGGCGTGGGATTAAAATTGGCAGCGTTTAGGGACCAGGAGGCGGACTCTGACTGGGGACCTGAACCGCTTAAGCCTTACGTCAGCCTCTTCATAGAACCATAGCAACGACCCTCCGTTTTCGCTTATCCTCTCAACTACCCGAGGACCAATCGTACTATTGTTGTCTCCACTTTGTGGAAAACTGAGGCACAGAGAGATTAAGAAATTTGCCCCCAAAACCATAGAGACAGAAAGCAGATTGGTGGTTGCTGAGGGCTGGCGGGGCGGGGGGGTAGGGTTAGGGAAAATAGGGAGCGACCGCTAAATGGTATGGGGTTTCTTTTTGGGGTGATTAAAATGTTCTAAAAATTGATTGTGGTAATGGTTGCACAACTCTGAATATGCTAAAACCCATCGAATTATACACTTTAAGTGAATTGTGTGGTATGTGAATTATATCTCAATAAAGTCATTTAAAAAAAGAAATTTTCGTAAGATCACACGCTCTTCAGTAGCAGAGTGAGGGCTTAGAGCACATACATACCTGACTCAGAATCCAGTGTTCTTTTCAGTATTAGAGCTGGACCTTAGAGAATCCTGTAAAACTATCACCAAGTGTCACCCAGAGGCCTCCTCCCAAGTGGTTTCCAGCTGCAACCCCTCATCCTATACAGTCCAATCCTGGCCCTACACCTGCCTCATGTTACTGTCCTCTAGCCACACTGGCCCTCTTTCTACCTCTCCAGGAGTCAAATTTGCTCCTGTCTCAGGTCCTGCCTCAAGGCCTTTGCATTTGCTGTTCCTTGAACCCAGAACTCTCTTACACCAGATCTTAGCAAGGCTGGCTCCTTCTAATCAATCAGGTGTCAATCCAAAACTCCTCCACGGTGAGAAAGTAAAAATCAGCTCAGGACTGAGAAAGTAAAACTCAGACTGTAATAGACACCGATAAGGCCAGGCAAGATTAGCGGAAAACCGTGTTTCTTACAGGGCCACACTGTCCCTGCAAGATGACTAACACCCCGTTCTTCTAATAATTATGCTTATTTATCAGTTACTTACCCAGCCCCACTTTGGTTTTGTCACCTTTTGCATAAAAATTGCCTAATCACCCACTTACTACACTGTGCCCTCTTCATGATAGCATCCATCCAGAGTTGATCCCTGCTTCCCCTAACCCTCCTCAGGTTCATTCAGGACAAGCTAACCCTAGAAAAAGCCCCTCCCCCACTCCCCACTGTCTTACTGAAAGGGCCATTCCTAGTGGTCTTTTCTGATGGGCTTTTGTCCACAGAGAAGCTTACCATAGCCACTCCATCACTCTGTAACCTCACAGTTTTATGGCTGTCATTGAATTTATCATCATCTTATATTGTCTGTCTCCCTTCAATAGAATGTAAGCTTCATGAGAGCAGGGACCTTGTTTGTTTGTTTTCAGCCTAATGCCCAGTGCACATTAGGCATCCAATAATATTTTCGGAATGAATGGACTATTTAAACCCAGTTGGATTTCACACTTTCTAGGACATTGATCTTTCAGCTAGACCACATTGTCTTTCCTGTTAATTATCCATTCCCAGTAACAGAGTGGAAATTTGCTAGAATATGAGGAAAGCAGAGGTGTAGACAGGGGAAGCAGGAAAAGAAAGATTGGCAACAAGTTGGTGAAACGCAAGTAGAACAGGGCCCAGAGTGTGGCCAAGGTCACTGGTAGAATTCCTGGCGTGCAGGGGGCAGAATGCAGGGAGCAGAGTAGGTTCTGTACATGCTCACCACACTGCATGACGTAGGGAACCAAGCACATCCCATATACCAATTTGTGAAATTTCTTTAAAGCAAGGAGCACATCTTATTTTTCTTTGTTTCTCCCCAGTCCCTAATATACAGAGGCTTATTCAAAGCGAAATTAACAGTTAGGTTTTGAGTAAATTTGAAATTATAGTGTGACCCGTAATCTATTCTATTTCATTTTAGATATTTCCCCCCAAATCCTCCTCAGACACAGAGGCAGAAGAGGAGCTGTCTGGGGATAGGCTGGTTTTGCCCAGGGCTGGCAAACTCGATGAGTTCCTCAGCCCAGAGGAAGAGACTGATTCTACTTCTGACTCAACTGGGAGCTTTTACGAGACCCTGCAGATACTGAGGCAGAAAGGCAGGTGGTGCCTGTTGGAATCTCTTTATCAGTCTGACCTCGACAGTGATGAGAACCTCTCTGAAGATGATGAGGACCTGAAGCATTTCTTCCAAGACAAAGGCAGGGGGAAGCGGCAGGTTCAGTGCCCCCAGTCTCCAAGGTAAGGCACTGCAGTTCCACAGCTGCCTCCCTGCATAACCCTGGCCAAGTCATGTCATGACTCTGGGCCTCATCTTCTTCCTCAGTAAAGCAAAGACCACTTCTGCACATGGCTACTTACCCAGGCTCCGGCTGAGAATCAGCCTTTGGATCCAAACATGTGTTCTGACTCCTACCCAGCAGTCCTAACCCTTAGTCACCGGAAGCATTGGGACTGATTAAAGGGATGTCTTTCCCAGACAGACTACCTCCCTGAGAACAGCAACGAACCACATTTACCTTGGCCAAGCCCTCTTATATGCATGTGTACTTTATCTCACTTAATATTTATTTTCTCCTCCCAATAACTCCGTAAGTAGATATTTTTTTTTGCCATTCTACAGATGAGGAAATTGAAGTTCCAAGAGAACCTTGCTCAAGGTCACACAGCGGGCAATTGTTTGAAGCAAGATTTGAACTTGGGTCTGACTCTAAAGCCCTCCTCTGTACCATTGCTCTCTTCTCTCTACCAAATGAAAATGTTAGAGTGCAAAGTGGCAATTCTTGGATCAATTCTGAGAAGAGACTTCCTACTAAGGCTGCCAGGATGGCCTGTGGGAAGGAGGGAGGATAGCTGAGAAAGGTGTGGGCTTAGAGGCCTGTGGGGCTGTGATTTAGGCTGAGAAGCTAGCTGTGACCTGCTGGAAGGGAAGACTGGGGAGGAGCAGGGAAGAGGAGCTGGGAGGAGCTGGGCCCCCTGGCTGCCCTGTCCTCCGCACACAGAGCTGCTTTCTCCCTGCAGGTGTGGCTCCACAAGGCGCTGCAGCTCCCTGAGCAACCTTCCCTCCGACATTCCCAAGGTTCTGGCCCAGCCACCTTCAGACTCCAGGTCTCCTTCCCAGCATAAAAACATCAGCTCCTGGGCATCATCCATCACCGTCCCTCAGCCGTTCCGCATGACGCTGCGTGAGGCCTGGAAGAAGGCCCAGTGGCTGGCCTCACCTGCCTCCTTTGAGCACGAGAGACAGCAGGCTCAGAGGCAGGGTCAGGAGGAGGCCGAGTGCCACCGGCAGTTCCGGGCACAACCTGTGCCCGCACATGTCTACCTGCCCCTCTACCAGGAGATCATGGAGCGCAATGAAGCCCGCAGGCGGGCAGGGATCCAAAAGAGGAAGGAACTGCTCCTCTCTTCCTTGAAGCCCTTCAGCTTCCTGGTGAAGGAGCAACAGCGAAAGGAAACCACTCAACAAAGGGAGTTGGCCGCCACAGCTAAGGCCAAGGTCCCCAAGCAGAAAGCCACCAGAAGGATCCCCAAGTCCATTCTGGAGCCAGCCCTTGGGGACAAACTCCAGGGTAAAGACGTTCTTGCCATTTTGCTGCCTCTTGCCTGGGGGTTTCAAGAAGTGCTGTGGGGATTTAATCAGGCTCTGGGGCCAGCCTGGCTTGGAGATGAGCTGTTTCGTGGACCTGCTAGAGGCCACACTCAGTGCAGGCCGTGGGGTAGAGTTGGGTCTATTTATACAATGGCAGAGCCCTGTAAGGAGTGAGGAGTCAGAGGTCCTACTGTGCCCCCAGGTTTGTCCTGTTGACCCCTCTCTCAGTGAGTTGATGCGAAGGCCTCTGTGGCAGCACAGGTGTGAGAGCAGAGAACCAATGAGACATCCAAGGACCAGCTTAGGCCAGTGCCACCACTAGCCAGGTGCCCCTGAGGAAAGCCCCCCTGCCCATCCTGGTGAGGTACACACTTCAAGAACTGTAGCTTGATTAAGGGACTCAGGCTTTATTCGCTCATTCAATAACGTGTGCTGAGCCGCAGGCACTATTCTACGGAGAATAAACAGACATGGAGTTTGTGGACACACGAGGGAGACAAATAATAGACAAATAATTACAAAAGTGGTGAGTCATTTGCAAGGATTAAAGGGAGAAGCCTGGGGGTCCTGTGGAGCATGTAACAGAGGGACCTGACTTAGGGTGTGGTGAGGGGTGGGAACAGTTAGGGAAGGTACCCAGGGAAAGTGAGCACTGAGGCTGACCCTGAAGGATGAGCCATGGTTAATTCGATGCAGAGGGAGGAAGGGTGTGCCAGGCAGAGATATAGCATGGAGGGAAGAGAAGGCTGAGTACATTCAAGGGATGGAAAGGTACGGGTAGAGTGAAAAGTGAGTGGGGAGGCAGAGGCAGGCATGGGCCAGCCCTGGGAGGCCTTGTAGGCCATGGGAGGGAGTTTGGACTTCATGTTTAGGGCACTAGGGAGCCACTGAAGGGTTTTAAGTAGGGTGGCTCATGATCAGATACGCAGTTCAGAAAGGCACTCTGATTGCCATGGTGATAATTAAAGGGGGAGGGGCAAGACTGGAGGGATGTTGATCTATAGGAGACCATGTCAACAATTCTGTTGAGAAATTTTAAAACTCATAGCAGGGATGGTGAAGAGAGGCTGGACTGGAGAGACATTAAAGAGGAAGAGACGGCAGAACTTGTGACTGATGAGATGAGAGAGGGAGGAGTCAAGAATGATTTGGGCCACGGGCTCGGCCAGTTGGTGGGTGGTGGGGCCTTTTTCTGAGATGGGGAGACCTGGGAGAGGAGCAGGTGACTGGCCCAGCCCTCCTCCTTCGCCTCTGAAGAAGGAACCATAGAAAGTGCTCAGTAAGCATAAATGGTAGCTGCTTCTGCAGCCTGATTGGCACACGGCAGTGGTGTCCTGGTTAATGTTTATTAACGAACTCTCCAGAAAAAAAAAAGCAAGCTGATTTGTAGTGTTTGCCATTTTCCATGGTATAAATGTTCCTATCCTGGCCAATTTCAGGCTTCCCACATGATATCAACTGGCTCACAAAATTCCTGAAAAGTTAACGAGCAGCTCCAGCTGGTGTTTTAGAGGGAAAGCTCTCCAAACCTTTTAGTATGAGGCTTGATCCCTTCTCACCCATCAACACCCTGCCTTTTCTCCACAGAAGCTGAGCTCTTCAGGAAAATTCGCATCCAGATGAGAGCCCTGGACATGCTCCAGAAGGCCTCCTCCCCCATCGCCTTCTCCAGTAGCCGGGCTGACCCACAGCCTCGCATAGCCACCCGAACCCGGGAGGAAAAGCTTGGGTTTCTGCAGACTGACTTTGGATTCCAGCCTCGTGTGAATCCTGCTGTCCCTGACTATGAGGGCCTTTACAAGGCCTTCCAGAGAAGAGCTGCCAAGAGAAGGGACACCAGAGAGGTGACTCGCAACAAGCCCTTCTTCCTGAGAACCGCCAGCCTGCGTCACACTCAGCGGCCCTGCGATGCCGCCACCTCTGGAGGGAGGAGGGTGAGAGCCCAGGCAGCCATGGGAGGGTCAGGGCCTGAGGCCCGAAATACGGGGACGGGCCAGGTCTTAATGGAAGGCACTTCTCATGACATTTTTCTATCTTTTTTTAAACACTGGCTCAGCTGTAAGCAGATCCACAATTCCTATAAACTTAAGACCACAAGAATACTTCCTTTCTTTCCTTTCCTAGAGGGAATTTTTCTAGAAAGAGAATTTGTAAAAATAAATCCAAGCAGGTCTGGAAGGCAGTGAGTTGGGATCAATTGCTTGTGTCTCTATACCAGTTCCAAAGAACTCTTCTCATTTGATTTAAAAACTTGGGAATTGATATCTAAGTCTTGGCCTGGTTACTAAACTCAAGATCTCATTATCCTTGCCTTAATCCCAGGGAAAAAAAGAAGATTCTCAGTCTGACTAGTCCTTCACTGAAGTTGAATCTTAGTTAAGATAGAAACTAATCACACATGCTGTGATTACCAGCCTTCGTTTCTTTTAGGACTCCGTGGAGCCACCCGTTACACCCCTGCCAAGGAGTCGTTCTCTGAGTGGCCTTGCTTCCCTCTCTGCCAACACCCTCCCTGTGCACATCACAGATGCCACCAGGAAGAGGGAGTCTGCAGTCAGGTGAGTGGTCAGGCTGTACGAGACTCATAATGCTCAGATCTTGGCCCAAATGCTGCCAACCACCCTGCTGCTGGGCCTCCTCTCCTGTTATCAGAGAGACCAAAAGGGGTGGAAGGGAGTTCTCTGATCAAGGACAAGAATACATGTGGCCCTCCACACTTAGTGCTGGAGAATCCCTCATCACTCAGCAAATATTCATGGGGGACTTACCTGTGCCAGGCATAATGTTAAGGCTGAGATACCTTGTGGAACCTGTAGTTTAATAGCTAGTCTAAAATACAGAAAAGCAAAGAAGTTACCATATTTTGTGAGTATTGCAATGATGGGGGACTACTGGGTGGTCCCCCCTATGTGGTGGCACTGGGCAGCCTGGGGCAGGGGGCTCTTGTGATAGATGTCTAAGGTGAAACCTGAAGAATGAGGAGTTAGTCAGACAAAGACTGGAAAGAAAGAAGGTTCCAGATGGAGAGAACAACATGGGCGAAGACCCACACATGAAAGAGGAAGCCATTAGGAACAGGCATTCAGAGAAGCATGACTGCAAGTGGCTGACCCCGCCACAAAGATGATGAGGCATCCATTGCACAGATTTAAGATTCTCTGAGATTCATCTTGGGGAACTACTAGAAGTCTGTTGGGAAGCAGGAGCCTCCTTATTTCTTAACTCTTTAACTGACCTGACTATCATGATATTGTTCTCATCCAGCCAGTGCCCCAGTAAGAGTTCCTCCACTACGCCTCTGACCCAGTCAGCGGAGACGTCGTGGTGTAACAAGCAGCTTAGCCCTGGGCGAGGACGAGCATCTTAGTGCTTTCCCATGGGGCTCACAGAGGAGTACACGAATCCTAGCTGGCTCTTTAGGACCCACAACAGGGATTTTAGAAATGTATTTAGAAGCCAAGGCATACTTCCTTCTTCCTCAAATTTCATAGTTGGCTACTAAATCAAGGCTGAATGCATCAGTATCCTGAGGTCCCAATAAGATAGGCCTCATGAACCAGGGGTTGGCCCACCTATAGAGGATGTCTACATCTGTTTCCCAGCAATAGGGAGTTTGATATATTAGCAGATTAAACTTTCATGCCCTCCTTCCTAATCTATCCATTTGGTAGAACTCTCCATAGTACATTGTAGAATGATATTTACACACAAAGTTGACCCCAGATTGTGCACTGGAGGAGGTCTATTTCCAGTTCTCTGTGAAAATGCAGATTTGTAGACCATGAACCCAGGCACCTTCCAGCCTACTGATTACCGTGCAGTGCTCAAGGGCAGACTTGGGAGTGAGACATCCTGGTTCTAATCTTGGCTTTTCCACTGCATGCTGGGTAGCTTTGAGCAAGTAGCTTACCCTCTCTGAGGCTCGATCTCCTTGCCTATAAAACAGGGGCTTCCAGTCCTTACCTTATAGGGCAGTTTTGAGGATTACAAAAGATATTGGATATAAAGCATTTATTGGTGACTGTCTGCACTTAGTTCAGGGTAGGTAGCTCAGCAAATGGTAGCTGTTAGTATTATTTTGTTCCCATATAGTCAAGAAGCCTGAGTGTAAGGATATTTTAACTCATGTGTTTTCCAGTTCAATTAATTAACTTCTCCTGGGGCAGAAAAATCCATAGTGCTGGGAAGGCTTCATCTGCCAGTGCATTTAACCTCAGAATCTTATTTTTTCTGAAATGCCAGTGTGGTAAATTACTCACCGCATTCATGGAAAATACTAGTTTATTTTCCAGAAAAGTTACTAAGATTGCTTTTAAATATAGCCAGGTTGGTCATCTGTATTCTTTTTTTGCCTCCTCTCTTTAGAAGTTCACTTGAAAAAAAGGACAAAGCAGATGAGAGTACTCAGTGGTTGGAGATGCACAAAAAGAAGTGTCAAGCAATGTCTAAATCCGTGACCTTGCGTGCAAAAGCCATGGATCCCCATAAAAGCCTGGAGGAGGTGTTCAAAGCAAAGCTGAAAGAGAATCGGTCAGTGTCCTCCATGTGTCAAAGGAGTGCCTGTCTTGGGATCCAACAGATAATTGGCCTTGAAACTGGCAAAATGGAGGAATTAGGGTAGGCTCCTGTAATCACACAGAGTCCAGGATTTTGCCAGGCATGGTTCGGAATTTACAATGTCCTTGGGAGTTACTCTGCTCAATTGGAATGAAGGGTATTCCAGATTGGAAAAAGACAGAATTCACTCTAAAAATCTTGTTAATTCCAGGAACAATGATCGTAAAAGAGCAAAAGAGTATAAGAAAGAATTGGAGGAAATGAAGAAGAGAATACAAACAAGGCCCTATCTCTTCGAACAAGTTACCAAGGTAAAACTAAACCATCATTCATTTTCTTTCTGTCTTGGATCAAAGGGCTCTTAGAAATGATTAAACAGTTTAAAATCTGGGTATTAAACATTTCCTTGAGGCTCAGAAAGATCTAAATTGGGCCCATTTTATTACTACCATCTTTCCCCAAAATAAATAGTGCAGTGGTGAATGTTGCTTGGACTGATTTCATCCAAGACTGGACTCCAAAGACATTTATAAAGGGATATTGCACTTCCTGGAGTCTTCATGATAGTCTTGGTTTCAGTTTGAATCAGAGTTGGGGTTAGATCCCAAACACACAGTGACAGTTTGGCTGTGTTAGTAAGAATATCTTTAACTTCCTAACGTCATCTCTCCTGCAGCGCTCGTGCCCTGGGCATCCCCAGCTGCTAGAGCTGTGGCACATTTATAGGTCTCCAGAGGTTGGGATGCTCACGAGCACCCTACAAGGCCCTCTCCAGATTAAGTAGCTTTCAGGCTGGAAGAATCATTTTAAGATATTCTATAGAATTTTAGGGAAGTCAGAGTCAGTTGAGATCTCCCTAAGGAAGCTCTGGAGCTACTCGAACAGCCTTAGAAAGGCCACCATCCAGGCAGCTTTGGGCTGCATCAGGCTCTGTAGCTCTCTCTCCTGTCCACAGTTTCAGACAAAAGTTGGGGTTCCCTAGTGACCTGATTCCAACTGCTGGGCATTATCTCCATCTTATAGCCAGTGCATTATCTAGGCATTTCCTGGGTCCACTCCTCTCCACCCCGCCACATATCACACACACCCTCACACACATGTGGACTGGACTGTCTTGGATTTACTTAGCAACTTGTATTGTTCACAATCTCTCTTAATAACCTTTGCTCTTCATTTTTTTAAGGCAAGCTCACTCCCAGATCTCAACAGATCTTTCACCACTCTAGGAAAAATACAAAGTACTCTATATGATTTTGCTCTTGAACACCTGAATTAAACCAAAGAAAAAATAACCTTTTTCTAGTTCACTTGCAGACCATCTATCTACTGTTAGGAGTGTTACTAGTACAGCTTATTTTCTGTTTGTTATAGTTTAGTGTTCCTGATGATGGTTTGGTTGCTTTTAAATTTTAAAATTAAATCTTATTAAAATAAATCCTAAAATCTTAAAAATTTAGTCTTTTTCATCTGGATCTCACTTGGTCTTCCAAAAATCTAAATCCTTGCTTCTCAAAGGGGTAGCTCCCAAACCAACAGTTGGCATCTCCTGGGAGTGTTAGAAATACAGAATTGCAGGCCCCATCTGAGACCTACTAAATGAGAATTTGCATTTTAACAAGATCTTCAGGTAGTTCCTATGTACTTCAGGGCTTGAAAACAAGGCTCTAAGTGATTTTCATTCAAATCTGTGCCCAGCAGTAATGGCAGGGTGGGTGGGGAAGAGTATTGTAAACACACAGGTTATGCAAGTAATTACAATTATCTAGTAATTTACAAGACAGCTACAGCAGATCAGTTTCCATCACCACAGGACCTTGCCAGAAAAGAAGCAGAACAACGGTATCGAGACACCCTGAAGCAGGCTGGCCTGGATGAAGATTTTGTGAGGAATAAGGGTCAGGGCACCAGGGATGTACAATGGAAGGAGCAGTCAGAAGTCCGTGATTGTCCCAGGTAATCGGAGATGCTGCTGTCATGCTCTCAAGCTGCCATCCCTAGTAAGGCAACTGGCAGGAAACTTTAGAACAGCCCTTCGTATTTTAAGATCACAATCCTATATTTATAGAATACTAATCCAGAGATCTCCAAGTAACACATTCAAATTTGGAGAGTAGTGCAGTTGTAAATAAAAGATAACCATTGTATATTAGGTTTAGATTCCTTCAATTTGAAACAGATCATTTTCCCAATGCCAGTTCCAATGCCATCAGTCAAAAATACTTCCACTTCACTTGTGAAGAAAAATCATGTATATTTTTACTTCCTATAAAATGATAAAACTGTTTTCCTAGCACTCTTTATTTTTTTGGATAATTGAAGGCAAAAACCTTATAGAGCCACAATAAAAGCTATAACACCCTGAACAATCAAAGCCTTTCTTTTCCCCTCAGCATGGGCACCATGACTTGTTAAAATCCAGCACTCTTTAAAGGTAACTCATCAGCACCACCTCCTCCATTGATACCTCGTATGTCAAAGGGAGAAAAACATTGTCTCTCCATTATTCTCCATTTTGTTTTGTTTCTTAAGTCCTAATGGCCCCTCCCCTAATTCCTATCCCAGTTTTCCCCCTAGAAATTTCCCTTTACACTCCATATAAAATAATGAAAATATTGAAATCATCCTTAAGCCTTACATAATTCTTTCTTTAATTAGAAGTTTTTTATTTTATATGTTTTAATTTATTCTGCAGCACCCATGGAACTGCAAAATTCAGCATCAGAAATCCACAGCAGGATTTAGAAGAATCCCTGGAAAAGCCTACAAGCCCCGAGAAAGAACTGGAGGACATGTCTTATGAACTGCTAGATAATCTCAAATCACTTGCTTAATCAGTACACTTAAAATTACTGCTTTTCAATAATTTTAAGCAGCTAACTTGGGGTGGAGTTAAGGCAAGCAAAATTTAAGTTTTGAGTCATGGTTACTCTTGGAGAATGGGGAAGAAAAGTAGCAGATAACAGGGAATGGTTCCCATAAATCAAAATGGAGAAGCTCAGGGTGGAGGGATCAGAGCAATTAAGGGTTCCTGCTTTGTGCCTCACACTTAAACTATGGGTACAGAAAAAAGGGCACAAGCCCAGATGCCTACAGGGGATAGTCAGGAAACATAAATGGATCAAATGGGCTGGGTGTAAGATAGCAGGAGAGAGTAGAGACTGGAGTCTCTGCTGGAATCCAGGCCCAGAATTGCCAGATCAACTGCATTTTCAATAGAAGCCAGAAATATGCATGTTAGCAACTAATTAAAAAATTACTTGGAAATACTGTGTGGGCAAAACAAATATCTGGTTGACAAGTCTGCAACTTCTAGTCCAGAGTTTCTCGATCTCAGCACTATTGACATTTTGGGCCAGATGAGTCTTTTTTGGGTGTTAGGAGAGGGGGCTGTCTTATACTTTGTAGAAGCTTAGCAGCATCCCTGGCCTCTACTCACTAGATGCCAGTAATACCCCTCTCCATAGTTGTGACAACCAAAAATGTTTCTAGAAATTGCCAAATGTCCCCTGAGGGGGGAAAATGTCCCTGGTTGAGAACCACTGCTCTAGTATAAAAGTAAGGCTACAAGAAGTAAAAACTGGCATTTTAAGAATACAAGCAATTGACATGAACTCAGTCTACATAGCACAGGATGACTATGCATGTCATTAACAAATTAAGAACTATAATTACTGTATTTAAAAGAGCAGTTGTTTCCTGTTATCTGTTTAGAATGTGCCACTGTGAGTGTGTGTGTCAGCATGAGGTTCATTTTATTTATTTTTTTTGTGAGGAAGATTAGCCCTGAGCTAACATCCATGCTAATCCTCCTCTCTTTGCTGAGGAAGACCGGCTCTGATGTAACATCTATTGCCAATCAGTAGATAGGTGTATGTCATAGTTGCACATCCTTCTAGTTGCTGTATGTGGGACGCGGCCTCAGCATGGCCAGAGAAGTGGTGCGTCGGTGCGCGCCCGGGATCCGAACCCGGGCCGCCAGTAGTGGAGCGCGCGCACTTAACTGCTAAGCCACGGGGCCAGCCATGAGGTTCATTTTAAATACATTTGAAGCTTCTCTGACAGCCACGAGTTTCTACTAGTAAGTGATCTTTGGAGTCGTTTTCTTCTCGCCAATAATAATTAGACATTCTCTCTCAGTAGTTGTAGAGACAGGATGATAGCAAGAGTGCCTACTCTACAGAAGCGCCTTTCTCATGTTTTTTTAACTTTCTGGAAAAATTCAAAAGTATCTATTATTGTCATTTTTTCCAGACTGAGACATGTTCCTTTCTGGTGACGACAGAGTAATACTCAGATAACCTCTATCTGGAATTTCCTAGTTAGAGATGAAGATGCTCATGTCATGTTCTCCAAGACTCCTGAGCTCAGTTTTACCTCTATGGAATCCAAAGAGTAGATCAGTGCCCTATCTTAAAGGGAAAGACTAAACTATTTTCTTAATCTCCAGTCTAAGAAAACACATTTTGTCCAAAACAAGAAGCCAAAGCACTGACTGGGCTGTTTTGTTTATTTAAAGAGAAAACATTTTAAACTCGGAACCATGTGATTTTTAACTTAAAAAAAAAAAAAAGCTTTTAACATGCTACTGTAGAAAACAAAGTGACCAAGTAGAGGTGTGGACAAGATAGTACCTCAGCCTGGGCCAAGTAGGGATTCAAGTAATTTATTTTTTTGCAGCCCAGTGGCGGAGAGTCTCTTAACTCAGGTTGCTAAAGGGAGAATGTCACAACAGAATTGACATCACTCCCTTCTCCAAAGCAACAAGGCATCTTGAAAGCTCAACTTCTTGGTGAAGTTTTCTGGTTGGTGGTAGGACTTAGTTCATCCATGTGAAAAGACAGCTGAGTCTGGGATGAAAACTCTTCAAAGGAAAACCTCCTCTCAGCAGTCATACTGAGAAACTTCAGCCAACACACAATCAAATTCACTTCTGGGAGAAGTCCATCCCAGAATTTTGCAGTGGGAAGAGAGGTAGGTACAGTTACCCAGCCCACATTCACTGCTTTCTTCCTCGTCTGGATCAGATGGTAGTTTGAAGAGAAGCTCTCCTACATTCATCTTCTGTGTCAGCAAAGATGAACAGAGGCAGAAGCGGGGTTCTGTCCTTCACAGGTTCATTTTGGTTCTGGCAGATCATGAGCCATAAGCATCCTGTTCCCACTATATGCACCCTGGGATCAGACAGAGCTGCTCTTCCAGGAGTCAGCACCCATGCTCATGTCCGTCTCTCAGTTAAATCTCCTTGGTTTAATAACTGTAAAAGATTAAAACAAATCTGGAATAGGCTACCACTGAATAATAGGAAAAATACTTCATACTAAGTAAAAGGTTTACAAGTGGGAGTGGGGGAATGCACTGCAGGGGTGAGTCAAGGATCTCTAGTTCCAAAGCAAGAGACATGCATAGACTGACAGATCTCATTCACATACTGGCCTTGGGACAGCACTATGGCCACTTGACAATGCTGTCGTTTTCACTATGGCCACTTGACAATGCTGTCGTTTTCACTATGACAATAAAATATCCTGAGTCTTTAAGCCAAACTGTTGTTTGTGTAGTCACATACTCACTAGTCAGTAATGGAGGAATCTATAACTTACAGAGAAATCAGAAATGGTGGAACCAAAAATATTATGTCCGTCAGCGTCAGCCCAAGTATAGGCTGAAGGCTCAAGCAGAAATAAAAGGAATGGGAGTCTACTCCCAATGAGTTCTATATGAGAGCTAGACCCACTCATAAGAAATCCAGGGATTCCCTGGGCTTAAAAGAATACCTTTCTTGTGATGAGGGGAGACAAGCCTGAGAGTCTCCAACAGGGTGGCAGCTAACATGGACATTCTAGTATACACTCAAGGACTCTGTTGAAAGGTGGTTTTGTACAATAATTGATGAAATTGGGTTCCATTTTATTATGAAAAGAAAATGAGATGGGAATAATACAGTGAAATTCAGAATAAAAATTGGGCTTATTAAAATCTAATCAGATAAATTCTTGAGCTGGAGATGTATTTACTTGGTGACCTCAATTTGGATGAAGATAATTTGTATAGTAGAATGTAATAATATGGAATTTAAAGAAATTTAAAATTTAAAGAAAAATTTAAAAATTTAAAGAAACCATAGATTTCATTTGATGCTGTGTGGTGGAGGGTGTAGGAATGATGTGTTTTTAATGTAGGCCAAGATTCAGATGTTTGCACTTAAACTTAGCAATGGCACTTTATGAGAAATCTTAAAGAATTTGTCATTTGTTTTCCTCTTTATTTGGGAAACATTCTAAGATATAGCCAAAGCTAGCTGGCAATCACCCTGGTTCTTGAGTTCAAGAACGTGAACTCACTGTGACTACGGAGCCCCAGTGGAATGCCCTTTAGTCAGCTGGAGGTCCAAAAGCCCTGGGGTCCCAGTTGGGGCTGCACAGTGAGACCTCTGTCTGATTCTCACCAGACCAGGTAATACTCAGGGAAAATAGAAACTGTCCAATCTGAACCATCTGAATGAGATATAGTTTTGTTATATTTTCCATAATAATTTCTGATACTTGATTTGGTTATTCTCTGCTATTCTTGGTAAGTTATTTTTAGAGCATATTTACTAGAATCCAATTAGAAGTGCATCAGTAGATTCTTACAGGTCTGATCTACAATGCCTGGTGATCTCCAAAAACAGAATTTGAAATGGGCATGTGTTGTTTTAAGAGTTGCAAATAGCCTTCTCCTTCTCTGGCATCTGAGAATCCCTAAGGAATCAACATTCCTCACTCATTGGAGGAATGGTCAGTTGGTACCCAGACCTTGGACGAGGAAGAGCACTAAGCCTGGGGCCTTGAGGGGCTTGTAGCTTCAAAATAACGAAGGTATTGGAGGATGTGATAAGCCTACCTTGAGAAGGAAAAGGAGGGGATGAGCAGTGGAAATGCCTGTGCTAAGAGGAAGATAATGGTAATAGTGAAGGAAACAGAAAAGAGGTGAGGCTCAGACAGAGGGTGTGTCTGTAAATACACAAAGACCCCAGGAAAAGTGATAGTGCAGGATTTTTAGCTACATCTAAGGGCAGTACTTTCCCCTTTGTGTTGTTAATATTTTTCTATTAAGTGTCTGGGGCTTTCATTATGCAACTAGGTACTTAGGGCCTGTAGGCCCTTAATGTCCTCCTGGGGTTAAGGCCAAGTTTTCTTTTGTTTTTTAGGTGGCCTGTGTTATCGTGTCTGCCTGAGGCTGTGAGTGGGCATCACCTAGACAAGGACCCTCTAAAGCCAATGCCAAGTCCCATGTGCCTAGGTTCAAGAGAACAAATGTGCTATTACTGGACTTTCTGCATACACAAATCTGACCATGTCATATCCCACTTAAAACCATGCAGTGGCTCCCCCCACAGCATAAAATCATGTCCTGTAAAGGCCCTTCAAGAGAGGGACCAGTTTATCTTTCCTGCTCTCATTTTTCCATTCCAGCCCATCTGCATTCCATACCCCATCATACTCAACCCTTTGTGGTTCCATAGCCGTGTCCTACTCCCTCTCACCTTCTGCCTTTGTACACACGGCTACCTTTATGCCTGTTTTCTTCCAACCCTCCCACTTGTCCATCAAGATGATTGCTGTTCATCCCTTAGGTCTTAACTTAAACTCTAAAACTTATTCCCTGACTTCTGCCAAGGCTAGCACTTATTACACCGTATAAAAATTGCCAGTTTATTGATCTGTCACCCTTCCCATTCTAACCTTTCTGTACAGCACAACTCCAGAGGCACCATTTACATAGTTATGGAGTTAGAAAAGGTAGAGGCCCTAACTCTGACTGTAAGCTGTTTGAGGCAGATTGTATTTTGTTTACTTTCGTATAACTAGTACCCAGCAGAGTGCCTTGCACACATTAGGTGAGTAATATCTGTTGACTGAATTAAGTTTTATATATCTGGCATTTGTTTGGGATAACTTGGAGTGCTTCAAAAAAAAAGGTATTTAGCAGTATGGGAGAGAAAAGCTCCAAGGTTTCAAAGATAAAAAAGAAAAGGTTGAATGTTGTGGATTGGTTTGTCAGGATAATAATTTGTACTAGGTAAAAGAGAAGGAGATGATTTTCCTGAACTGACTATTTTAGAG